AGTAGCTCACAGTGAAATCGGGACCGAAATCCTTGACCGCTTCTGGGGCTTCCTGCGGGAGCACATCAAGCAGGTGAACTGGACTCCTGGCAGGCCATGGTCGCGTAGATCAGAGTGGTGTGTTCAGTTAACCTCCGGCCACCCGGCTGCGCAAAATGCTCGCCGTGCCATATGAAACATGATGGCTGGCCAACTACCAGTTGGCTGGCATTCGGAATGCGTGGGTCCTTGACGGTGCGTATTCGAGCAGGGCGTTAATATTAAAGCGAGGACCTCCGGATTGCGTCGAAGTCGCTTCGCAGGAGTTCGGAGGGCGCGCTGTATGCAAACTTCAGGCGCCCACTTGCCGACACAAAGATAGTGTGTCCTTGCGGCTCAACATGGCTTAAGTTTTGAAGTGGGTGCTCATGACTTTGCAAGACATTAGCCTCATATATTTGTTGGTTGGACCTCAGTTTGTTGGTTGTTTGGTTTCAATCACCACATTGATTTGAGCTACCCTGGCTTTTTGTCTCCTGCTTTTCCGAGAATTTCTGGCAGTTTGGAGATATGTGTGGTCTTTGCTTAACAGGAGCAACACGTTTTCCAAATTCAATCGCTTGCAAGCACGTTTGCTGAATGTTTCTGAACCCTTGCCCAAATTTACCCAGAATGCGTGGGTACTTTGGCCTTCCTACAAAGGGCGTATGACGTTGAGAAGCCATTTCGAAAGTGGGTGATGCCAGTGTGTTGCATGCGTCTTAGCAGGTTTTGTGCAGCGCAGAACTTGTTCAGGGAAGTAAGTTGTTTGCAGCAGACAGCGTGGCATTGGTCAAGGCATATAAGATATGAACAAGATGCGAGCCGATGTTGGTTGGCATTGGCCAATGTTTGTGAGCTGACAGACGCAGAGGATTTCCACATCAATTGAGAAATCGAAGGTATAGGCGAAGAAGAAGAGCCATTTTTGGCTTTATTGCTGATACCCTTGCTCCGGCACTCTCACAGAGATATTTTACAGTCAACTGAACGAGGATAACATTAGTGATGAAGACTATGAAGCGGCAAATCTGATATGAACACATTTTACTAGTAACGCATGAGAGAGCATCACGGTTTCTGTGAAAGCAGATGTTGTATTATTGACTGGCATTTTCAATAACATCAGAGGTGTGTGTATGAAATATTCTGGCTTCGACCCTGTGTGTTATTACCATTTACCTTGCTTCGATTTTACACTGTGCCTAACTTTGCTTCTGACGCTATGTTCAACCTAACCTGCGTTGAAATAGTTAAATTCAGTTCATGACCAGAAGGTGCATGAAATGATTGAGCAATAAGCTACAGGAGGAGAGCCACAAACATGTTTCAGAAAGTAGAAGCAAACACTGTTCAAATGGGTGGCACAGCTTAATGAATCATCTGCACAAGTCTGCCAACATTGTAAATGTAATCCCGTTTCTGGTAACATCCATCTAAAATGACAAGACTTCTCTTTCCATAAGCAGCAGGCGCGTGTTTTTTTTTCAAGTTGGGGGGGTGCGTAATGTATATATATATATATATACATACACATACATATAAGTTTTTTGGGGCGGTGCATAATGTATATATATATATATATATGTATATTGTACGTGTATATATATATCTATATATATGTGAACATGGTGTGCTTCATGTCAATTTCTTCCCTCGGCAAAGAACCGGTCACCCTCTTCGCTTCGTCCTTCGTCCTTCGTTCTTCGCTCCCTGAGGCCGGTGCTGCTGGCGCTGTGGAAGGTGCTGCACCTGCGGGCCTACTACATGTTCATGAGGACGGCGCTGGCTATCAACCCATGTAGTTACCTACCACCTGCCTATGTTCATGTATCTACTATTTTTTTATTATACTTATCTACCTATCTACCTATCTGCCTACCTATGTTCATGAGGACTGATTGGGGGGTGCGGGGGGGTTTCCCTCAGCCATCCCACCCACCTATCCACCTATCCACCTATCCACCTATCCACCTATCCACCTATCCACCTATCCACATGTTCATGAGGACTGCTTTGGGGGTCCTCAAAGGTGTTGATCTCAAATTGGGATGGCTTGCATTCAATTCGCTAATAGTGGCGAATAGGGTCTATTAGGGCATGGGCTCACTTGCCAAAGCGAATCGACCTGAAAAAGCCTTTTGGTCTTCCAATTTTGGACAATGTTTAGTAAAGGTGTTAAAGGGTGAATCTGTTGTTTCAGGGCCCTTTGGGCAATTGAATTTAGTCAAAGGCAGAAAAACGGTTGGCGGTTTTCCTGGAACTTGGGGGATGACTTTGAGAGTGGTGAAACTTTGGAGCCTTCGCACCCATTTTCAGGTTGACAAACTAGCAAAGAGAATCAGAAAAAAACTAGTTTTCGGTCTGCCCTGGTGGAGGAAGTAGTGATCAATCCTGGGGTCTCCTCCAAAACTATTATACCCCCAACTCGAAACACCACCTGAGCTGTTTTCAGGGTATGTTTTTGGAAACCTCGGTTTTCCGGGTAAATACCTCTGACATCATACCCTATCATACCCTGAAACAAGCTGGTATTTGGAGTAGGGGTACATTTTAGGGTAGATTGAGTATGACACATAATTTGGACGTATGATTTCTGTGTACCCCTTTTTGCTGGGCAAGAAACACACTCAAGAAGTGAGCCTGGCTATTTGAGTGTGTGGTTTCTGAGCGTACCCTTTTTTGGATGGTTTCAAGAGGACAACCAGCAAAATCACGTCCTGAGTTCCTGGACCCTATCACTTTTGGGAAGACCATGTCAGTGGTAAACAGACACTTTAGACTTTGTGTGGGCCATCCACTTAGGTTTGGTCATAAAAGGGCTCCACCCATTTTGAATCAAGAAGCGAGCCTGGCTATTTGGGTGTGTGTTTTGTGTCTTTTGTTTAAGGTTCCTTGATGGTTTCAAAGAGAAACCACCACAACACCACTTGCATTCGGCCAAATTCGTTTTTTGTTGGTAACCTTTGTCGGTTATGACCCACTTTTCCCCCCGAAGTGGAGTCAACCCTGTGTGGGTCGCAACCCAGGAGGCCAACCACTTAAGTTGGCCGAACTTGTTGTGGGAAACCAGGAATGATACCACCCATTTTGGCTCCCAGCGAAGTGGTTGGGTTTCCATTTAGCTCGCTAAACGTTGGTCGCTTTTAAAATTTTGGCAAGGGATCAGAAAACGGACAGCCTAGGGTTGAAGCATCGCAACAAGGGACAGCCCAGCTATTTCTTGGTGGCTCCCAGCCATCCGGTTCCTTAGCTTTTAGCTTTTTGGTGCTTAGTGGTAGGTTCCATTTACCCCACTAAAGGTTCGTCAAACTTTTCGCGGGGGATCAGAAAACGGGCAGCCCAGATCGCTTTCTCCAGGAACCGCATCATGATCTGCTTCGCCGCTGGCTCCCGGCTGGGGTTCAAGCGCCTTCGGCTGGCTTCCATTTTCTCAGTTGTTCAGCGGCTCCAACTTTTTTTGCCTTGTTTTGGGTGGCTGCCCCACAAAAATGGTCTTCCCAAAAAAGGGTTCCCGTTTTTTCCAGGGTCACTGAACAACTGAGCTTTCTGAAGTTAATACTGTGGATGGATGCGAAATCCATTTCGCACCTAAGAAGATCTGGAATGATTCGTTTCCCCTGATACCAACAAACAATGGAAGTCATTTTGCCTGGACATCCTCACTTGGGGGCAACTCTGAGCAAAAACGTCGCCTGGGCTCTGGTCAAATTGGGTATAGCTCAAAATTAAAGAGCTACTGTGGATGGACGAAATCCTTTTCGCACCACTTTGAAACCAAGGGAAACCATAACGTTTGTTGGTATTTGTAGGCCAATCATCATTCGAGGGTTTCTTAGGTGGTGCAGGATTTTGTCCATCCACAGTATGTTAGAGATTTTCCCCTGGTTGGTTTTAAAGGAAAGTGATCACCACTGGATAAAGTTTTAGTTTGGGGGACTTAACCCAGCGCTTCCAGGTGCTCGCTTAACTGGCACTTTTGCAAAGTGCCCGCTTAACCAGCACTTTGTCAAGAGGCTGGATTTCAACACCGTGAAAGGTGCCTGAGAAACCCGTGAAAGACCGTACAAAACCTTGTGAAAACAGCGTGAAAAGACACCCTTCGTTTACTCATGCTAGGGCTCCCAGTAAAGACAGCACTTTTATCAAACGTGCTCGCTTTACTTGTCCTTTGGACTTGCTGGGTAATCAATTGGGTAATGTTGGCCCCGCATGAGTCAACCCCACTTAATGAATCGGGGGGAGGGGGGCCCTCCAAAAGTGTTTCGATTCCCCAATGTTCTCACGAAACCCATGGACACCCCTATTAATAAACTGGGGGTGATTCATTTGGGGTCAAGATTACGTGTCAGAATCGGGGTCCCCCAAAAAGAAAGGTTTCCTTTCGTGATTTCTCTTTGGGGGGCGCCTTTTGAGTTGGCCCCCTTTTGCCCTTTTTGGCTTGGGGAAGCCAAAAGGAAGACCGTTGTGCCATTTTGTGGAGTCCCTTTCCAAGGGTTGCCCAAAGCGCATTGCCCAGGTCTGACTTGTTGGCCTCCCATTTTTGGGTTCCATGTTTTTGTCATGCCCCCAAGCTCCTGAGGACAACTGAGTATGGGGTTTGGTGCTTCTCACTCCCTGATGTCCTGGATTTGATACTTGTGGTTCGGACCGTTTTTGTTGCAAACAAACAGTTGCGTGTGTTGGTTGTTCTTTTCTTTTTTGCTCGCGGTCAGTGCACTCGGGAAGTTGCACCACTTGGCTTTGTGGTGAATAACCCTGAGAAAGTCCAGTCCCCGTGTTTGAACCACTTTCTGTTGGTTCTAAGACCCTTCCTTGGGGTTGGGGCGCACTATAAGTCGGGTACTCCAAAATTGGCGGTTTGGATTGGTGGTTTCGGGGTCTGAAGCCCTAAGCTCCAAACCACCAAGCCACCAATCAAGGGTTACCCCAATACCAAATCACATCATCGCACGACCATCATGTGTAAGCAAAGAAACAGCGCGGCGTTTTTGGGGGACTCCCCCTCGGTGACTTTTCGAAGGAGACATCCCGCCCAAAAGAAAGACATAAAGACATGCGACCAACTGTTTCTCAATGAGGAGTCCATATTTCGTCCAACCGTTGAACCCGATGTGATCCATAGTTTGGGTTTTCCCCAATATCTTTTTGGTTCCAAAAGGTGAATTCACCTTTGATTTTTGGATCCCATCCCCGGGCTGAGACCTAGCATTGGGATCGAGTGGCAGCTACGCGAAGTGTGGTCTCACAGCTTTTCAGTCGGCCGGTTGGAAGATATGGACCTGGGACCTATGACTCAAACAGTTTCAGCCGGAAACACATCCAAGGGACAGTTCAGCCGGATCCAACCAATCTTCAGCCAACCCAAGCATTGGGCCCACCATCCAAGAGGTCTGGAAGGGTTTGGACTCGACCGATACCAATCCACGGTTTGGCGCAGAAGCAACTTGGAGAGTGTTCACATGCTGTGTGTGGCCCTTCACTGTTGGGTCCTTAGGGCCCTCCAGACACAAAACAACAACACCAACAAGAACAAGGAAAAAGTCACAAGCACAGAAAACACAACAAAAACAACACGTAAAGTAAGAAGCCACACAAACAGAGAACAACAACCAGGTCCCCCAGTAGTGCCCTTTTACCCTTTTTTGGGGGGAGGGTTCCCCTACGAAAATAGACTACCAAAAAAAATCGGGCACCCTTATTCTAAGCTCTCAAATCTGGAGGACCTGGACAAACAACAGAGAACACAAAGAACATCAGAAATTCCAGCTCCAAGGGTTTGATTTGTTTGATGCTCAAACACAGAACAAAGAGTCCTCAAACACAGAAACAATGAGTAGAGATAAAGGGAAACACACACAAGACGTCGATGCCACTAAAACAACACCACCAAATCAGAAAAATAGCACAAACACTGAAAACAACCAGAGAAAGAAACAAAATAATATCCACCTCGGGGACTCGCTGCAGTGACCTAGACAAACAACAGAGAACTGACAAATTAACATGAAGGAATCCACCTCCCAGGGTTTCACAAAACAAAACCTAAGAAATTCACCGAAGCCAAGGGTTTGATGATCGCTTTGATGCAGGTGCGGCTTGGCGCTGAGCGTAATCTTCGCCCATGCCTTGGCCCACTTTGCGCTGCTGATCTTCTTCGGTCATCCCTGCGAGGAGTCGAGTCAGAGTATGGAAGCGGTGGAAGCGGTGGAAGGGGGCGGTTGCGTTGGGGAACACATTGACTTTGTTGCATTTTGCTTGGGTGTTAGGACTTCAACTTTTTGCCAACTAATGAGTTTTCCGTATTAAACCACTAAAAGTGAATAACTTTTAGCAGGGGAGCAGATTTCGCAACCGAGCGTGTTTTTGTTGCAGGGTAAGCTGAGAAAGACCCAGCCTGAAGTAGGCCGCAAGATGCGCCCAAACCTATAGGGTTGATTTCATTTTGAGGGGATGGGGAAACTGTGGGGTGGGTTTCTTGTTGGGGGGGTGGTGTGGTTTGTTGGGAGTTCGTTTTTTGGGTGTGGATGAGGTTGGGGGGGAGAGGGGGGGAGAGGGGGAGAGGGGGGGGAGGGGGGGAGAGGGGGGGAGAGGGGGGGAGAGGGGGGGAGGGGGGGGGGGGGAGGGGGGGAGAGGGGGGAGGGAGGAGAGGGGGGAGAGGGGGGGGAGAGGGGGGGAGAGGGGGGGAGAGGGGGGGAGAGGGGGGGAGAGGGGGGGAGAGGGGGGAGAGGGGGGGGAGAGGGGGGAGAGGGGGGGAGAGGGGAGGGAGAGGGGGGGGAGAGGGGGGGGAGAGGGGGGGAGAGGGGGGAGGGGAGAGGGGGGGAGAGTGGGGGGAGAGGGGGGGAGAGGGGGGGAGAGGGGGGGGAGAGGGGGAGAGGGAGGGGGGAGGGGGGAGAGGGGGGAGAGGGGGAGAGAGGGGGTGGGGGGGGAGAGGGGGGGAGAGGGGGGGAGAGGGGGGGAGAGGGGGGGAGGGGGGAGGATGGAGGAGAGAAGGATGATTTGGGGATTTTGGGCTCGTCCGCAACCTCCCCACCCTAAAAGGTGCAACATAGCTTGGATCCTGCAAGCCCCCACCCGAAGCCCACCCGAAGGGGATCCTGACGACTCACTTGCCCCAGGATCAGGCGAAAGCCAACTTCTTAAAAGCCACGGCCATGGGATTCTCTGGCCATGGGGTGTCAAAATTAACACATTCAGGGACCCAGGGACCACTGATTTTACTACCGCTTGGCCATTGCCAGGGCAAGCACCTATTGCTTTTAGGGAACTATTTTGACCCACACCCATGTTTTTTTCCAGTGGTGCATTTTGCCAAGGGATGTTAGGACTTTAACTTTTTGCCAACTAATGGGTTTTCCACTAAAACCACTAAAAGTTAAGCTTTTAGCAGGGGAGCAGATTTCGCAGCCCAGTTTTGCTTTCGGGCCGTCGGGGCTCTGTTTGTCGCCGCAAGGAGGAGCACTGCCGAGGACAGCATATCCTGAACACCGGCTGGAAGGACATGGCCGGACATGGGCGAAACAAGTCGACCTTCCATGTTCATCCCCTTTGGTTGGCTGAAAGATTCCATGTTCCTGGACCCTCAAACTACCCATAAAAATGGGAGATCACCCCATAAATTTTGGGGGTCAAACCCATTTTTCAGGGAATTTTGAGGGTTCAGGTTGTCGTTTTTGGTGCTTACAATTCGGAGCTCAGAAAGTTTCCAGTAAGAACCCCTCAGGTTCTGTAAGAACCTTCCAGGTTGAGGATTTACCAGGGCCACAACAGCTCGACTGGTTGAGGGTTTACTACCAGGTCCCCCAGCTAGGTGCCAACTTTTACCAACTTTTTTGGGGAGGGTTCCCCTACTAAAATAAACTACAGAAAAAAGTTGGTACCCTTATTCTAACCTCTCTACTGGAGGACCTAGACTATGAGGGCCTAGCTTTGGTGATGAATGCTTACTCTGTCTGCTGAATGTTTGCATTCTTCACGCATGTCTTTCCTGGCGCCGGCCCAGGAAGACTACCCCATGGGGCATTTATCAGACCGATGGATCCCAATACAGTGCAAGCAGGGGAACAAGGAGCCTCTCTAATTCAATGTGATTTACCATGGTTTCTGGTTGAGTATAGTTGAAATGTTTAGGGCATTCACCGTACTCACCCTACCACCCAGCTACAAGTGTAGTTTTGAGCGCGAAAGGTAGATATGAGGGACCCTACCAACTCCCCCCTCCCTCCGAACAACATAAACAACAAGACTACAGCCATTAAGGCTGTTGGCCGGATTTGGGTCAAAGGGTCAAAATCAAAAACCACGAGGGGACTAGGTTTTTATCCTCGGTTCCACTTGACGCTTCGGTTTTCTTTTTGGCACCATGTTAGCCACTGCCATTTCCTCGGTTGAGATTCCCCCAGGAGTACACTCGGTGGGAATTACCCTCCATTCAGAGCCCACGTCATGTCCTCTCCAGACCAAACTTGTCTATGTTGCTTGTTAGTGTGCGGGATTCTTTTTGCCTGGAGTGGCGAGTTCCAGGTTGTTGGGCATTGACCCGTGCGCAGGTGAGTCACATCCAGTTGGCTTAGTCAACCCTAAGTCTAGGCCTTAGTAGCCCTTTCTTGGTGCAACACTCGAGTCAACGGCAAAGATGTAAGATATTGCCTAACATTGACCTATTAAAGGGTGCGGACTTCAACCCAGTGCCAGACAATTTGCCGCCCTACTGGCAAAAAGGACGGTCCTTTGCCCTTCAGCTACCGAATTGAGGAGCAGAGTCCCTTCTGGGAGTTTTGGTTTGGGGGGCATCCCCCTTTGGTTGGTTGTTCAAGGGAAACCAACAATTTTCCGCTTCCAATTATTTTGCTCGAAAGCACACACATACAGGGGAGGAGACATCAACATGTGTGTCCAGCGTACCCAAAGCGAGTAAGTGATTGCTTACAGACAATCCATGTGGGCAATATATATATATATATATTATATGTACACCAACATTTGACCCATTTGGAGTGTAGGATATGTATTTCCTGCATGGATTGCCAGGGAGTTGCATCCATCCTTTCTCCATGGTTGTTGTTGGGAACCATTTCACATTTTTGCTCTGGAAAGAATGGACATGGAAGGTACCCCTAGAGCAACCAAGGTCAACCAAGTCTTTTGGGATCTGAAGAGGACTTTCTGAACGACCCGGCCACGCTGCAGCGGGACAAGACCTTTGTGCTCGCCGCCACCCGCTTGGCGGTGCAGTACATTGCCCCGTCCCCAGCGCATAAAACCGTGAAGTGGCTGCATGTTTTTTCTGGGTTGGTACATGTTTTTTCGTTGTCTGGGCCTTTAGAAACCAAGGGGAAAACAAGGCCTCCCCTTACAAATGACCACGGCTCTCAAAATTTGGGACCCCTTCCGTTTGATGCCCTTTTGGTCTTCCCTGAACCATCCAGGGTGGGACCCTGATCTTGAGAAACCCAATGAGCTCTCCATGTTCCCAGGGGAGCAACAGGCAAACCCCGTCCTTGCTACTTAATGCTTTCTGTGGATTTGGGGTGTGTTCAAGATCTCTAGAATGGGGCACCCCCGATTCTGAATCAACCAGGGGTTAAAAATAGCAATCCCGCTACTCTACAGGCCGATCCCCCACTCTTTCCTTCATTCGGATTGCCTTGGCGTTTGGCAATTTTCCCAAAAGAAGGACCCCTACACAAGGGGTACATAGCAAGTGTAAAAGTATGCCACAGACCCGCAGAGCGGCTGAAATGACTTGGCCCCTCGTATCCCTACAGCTGTGGAGGTGCGCGTTCCTTTTTTGGCGGACACACACAAACAGATACACAGACACACAGACACACAGACACACAGACACACACAGACACACAGACACACAGACACACAGACACACAGACACACAGACACACAGACACACAGACACACAGACACACAGACACACAGACACACAGACACACAGACACACAGACACACAGACACACAGACACACAGACACACAGACACACAGACACACAGACACACAGACACACAGACACCAGACACACAGACACACAGACACACAGACACACAGACACACAGACACACAGACACACAGACACACAGACACACAGACACACAGACTCACAGACACGCAGACACAGACACACAGACACACAGACACACAGACACACAGACACACAGACACACAGACACACAGACACACAGACACACAGACACACAGACACACAGACACACAGACACACAGACACACAGACACACAGACACACAGACACACAGACACACAGACACACAGACACACAGACACACAGACACACAGACACACAGACACACACACACAGACACACAGACACACCACACAGACACACACCACACACACACCACACAACACCCACACACCCACACCCACACCCACACCCACGCACGCACGCACACACACCCACGCACAACACGCACACGCACACGCACACGCACACGCACACGCACACACGCACACGCACACGCACGCGCACGCGCACGCGCACGCGCACGCACGCACGCGCACGCGCACGCGCACGCGCACACGCGCACGCACGCACGCGCACGCGCACGCGCACGCGCACGCACTCACTCACTCACTCACTCACTCACTCACTCACTCACTCACTCACTCACTCACTCACTCACTCACTCACTCACTCACTCACTCACTCACTCACTCACTCACTCACTCACTCACTCACTCACTCACTCACTCACTCACTCACTCACTCACTCACTCACTCACTCACTCACTCACTCACTCACTCACTCACTCACTCACTCACTCACTCACTCACTCACTTCACGTGCACGCAGGCGAAGATGCAAGTGCGAACCTCTGACTCGCGCGTAAACACACAGAAACACGCAAAAGCACATGCTTGCTGCAGGCTCAGGCCAGATGTGTGCTTTGCTTACGAGTGAACTTATTCCGAACTTGGTAGCATACGTGCTGCTCTCGCGGAAATGCTCCCATGCATGATGGTTCAGTTGGCAACCACCGTGGGATGTGAACATGTACACATTACATGCTTATTGATTTGCTTGCCTGGACCCAACTCGTCCTCGAAATGCACGCAGAGATTCTCGGCTGAAGCCGTCCTGGTTTCAATGGTCATTACTCACACACTCTTGTTAAAGAGCTTGGGATCAGTAGCAACGTCGAGTGGGTCCAAGACGGCCCAAATCCTCGCAAGATTGAACTCCATTTTGGTGTGTGTTTAGTTGGTCCCAGCAAAATGGTGGCGTTTCAACCGGTGGTTCCCTGCTGGACAACGACAAGACACCCATTCTGCTACGTGCACCTAAAAACCAACCTGAGAAGACAACCGAGCCCAACTCAAACAGACACGTGGGTGTTTCTTTTTTTGAGGGTACCCCTTTTTTTGGTGGTTTTAAAAAGGCAACCGCCAGTTTTTGGGGGTCTCCCAACAACAGATTCCCCCCCCCCACGCTTTTCTTCGGAGCATGTCTTTTCTTCGGTGCCCATTTGTTGGGTTGTGAAAGTACCCTAACCCCAGAGCTCTAAATTCCAACCCACCCTAAGCCGACCCCAACCCCACCCTAAACACGTCACTCAGCCGCCCTTTGAAGCAGCCGCCCGTTTGACTCATCTGGCGGCCCAGGTGCCGGGGGCCTTGAGCCTCATCTTCGTGCGACTCGGAAATGGAAGTCTGGGGGCTTCGAAGTCTGGGGACTATGGTGACTTCACCGTTGGGCTCTTTTTCCAACTTTTTTGGTTGGGAGTGTTCGGGATCATACTAAAATTGACGAAACAGAAAAAAAATGGTAGCCATATTCTAAGCTCTCTACTGGAGGGCCTAGTCGCTGTTGTTGCCAGTTTTTTTTTTTTTTTGTGTGTGTTTTTGTTTGGGTTTTGTTCAATTGTTTTCGTGGCTGCAGGTTTTTGGCAAGTGTTTTGCTACCATAAGGGTCAGGGTTCGGTCGGACATCTGCTAGCCTCGGGGTTTTGGGAAAGGTTTCCTATGGGATGACCTAAGCTGATGGACTTGAGTCGCTGGCTCCCGGCTGGGGTTCAACCGCCTGTGGCCATAGTTTGTTTTTCTCCGAGATGTTTTTGGTTCCAAAAGGTGAGTTCACTGCCCCAGAATTCGTTTCCCTTTTTACACTTTTGCTTTTTTGGGGTTCGAACCCATTGTTTTCCACGAACCAGGCAAAAAACAAGGTTTTTTTTGCTGGGGTCCGATTTTTTCCGGCCAAGGGTAAATTGCAATACTGTGGATGCACCTAAGAAACCCTGCAATGATTCGATTCACCTGTAAATACCAAGAAACGAATGGCTTCAACCATGGTTTCAAAGTGGTGCGAACGGATTTGGTCCATCCACGGCATGTTCGATCGGGAAATGGGTATGGGTCAAAACTAAAGCACCAGGATTTGGACCGCAGGTTTTAGTCCTTGGCTACCCATTTACTAGGGTTCCAAAATGGCTACCCATTTTTGACCCGCAGCCATATAAAGTTTGGAAACCTTTTGTTGGCCAATCCACTCAGAAAGTGACTATAGTGAGAAATCAGCTAGCACGTGGGTCTTTTGGATGGTACCCATTTGTTGTGGCTCTAGCGGGAAACCAAAAGAAAAGCAGTTAGCCAGTCGCCCAAAGCGAATTGACCATTCAAAGCGAATTGACCATCAAGGTTGCAGAAAGTCAAACAGTAATTTCAGGTTTCTAAGGGGCAAGTGAGGTTAGCAGATGGAACCCTTCTCTTAAACATTTCCCCCACACATCCTGGTTGAAATCTCCGTTAGCGACTTGGGTTCTAATTATCTTCGCCGAAAAGTCAGAAGTCGGGTCCAACTTGAGTTTCCTCCTTTGAGGGTCCTACAAAGGACAAACCGACAAACTTTGTCAACTTTGAGGGTCCGACTTGAGTTTGTCTGTCTGGTTTCCTCCACCTTTCCTATAAGGGTCAACAGACAAACCCCTGTCGTCCTTTTTTTTCTTCCCGCGAAACCAGCACAAGTGGCTGGCTTTCTGGGGGCCATTTTTGCTTCTCTTCGAAAGCTCAACCGAGGTCTTCTTTTGAACCGAAAGTTGGAGAACGAACAGTTGGACCGTCCAGTTGGACCTGGGGTTCCCCCAAATTTCCGGCGCTGCTGGGTTTTTACCTCTTTCTTCCCTTTTGGAGCCAAGCATCCATATCTTCAAATCCTGCCCGACAATGGCAGCTGTTTTTCACCCGTTTGTTCCATACCTCCAAATCGACACGCTGAATAGTCACTTCCTGGGCTGCTCGAGGCCATGGTGGTCAATCTCTGGAAACCCTGGCGTTGGGTGGTCAATTTTCTCATGGGGGGGAGGGGACGCTTCTTTCCTTCTTTCCCAGCAGATGGGGTCAACATGCACACCAGCGGCAGGTTCTAGGAGTGTTCTGCCTAGGTTCCAGGCAGGGGGTGGGTGGGTGGGTTGGTAATGTTGTTGGGAAACCTGCAGACAAAAACAGACCCAGTGGTTCAACGAATCAGCCGGATTCCCCCCAGATAGCTGAAAGCCATAGGGGTGCTGGCTTCTCAAAAGAGGGGAGATGGGCGACTCCTGCCCCGATGGTTTTTGGCGTTGCGACTCCAGTTGGACGAGGTTCGGCATGGATAACTTTGTGGCAGAACTGGTGCCAATGGGCCTCTACTTCGACCACCTCCCCAGCAAGCGACGCTCGCTCAGCACGTGCCAAGAAGTCCCAAGGCTTACTTGCGATCGGTGCGATAAGCAGGGTTGTGAGGAAATGAACCCAAGGGTCCCTTACAGGAAACCATCAGTTGGATGGTTTCTCTCGGGGTCATTCCGTTTCTCCTTCCCCGCCTACCGCACCACCAAGTTTAAACATCGGTGTTTGAGCTGAGCTTCCAGAAGGGGTGTTAAGGGCACATGCTGTGGATGGTGACACGAAATCCATTTCGCACCACCCAAGAACCATGGTTGAAACGATTCTTTGTTGGTATCCGCAAAGGAGTCGGGGAATCATCTTTCCAGAGTTTCTCAGGTGGTGCAGGATTTCGTCCATCCACAAATATGGGTGGGTTTACGTGTCCAATGTTCTGCTTTCAGACCGGGGTCTAAGTCTGACTACTTGTCTGGGTTTGACTATTTGTTTGGCGTGTGGTGAATTCGGTACCACTCTTGTTTGCTATGTGGTTGAATCTTTAGGCTTTAGCTTTTTGGGAACATGTGTATTTTTCCACCAACCAACAGTTCAACAGGCAGCTACACTTTTCGCACAGGTGGTTGAACCATCTAGCTCATGATTGAAGCAGACTGAAGAGGATTGGAGGTTGGTTGAGTGATCCGTGAAGGTCATGTCAATGTATGTTTGCTTTGGAAGCATTGACTTGTGAAGCTGACTTTAGATACAACTCTGACATGTACCCCACATAACCCTCACCCATGCGAATATATTATATCTGTACATATACGATTTCGCTTGTACGTGTCAGTTTTCTGTTGTCACTTTCTGTGAACTGGTAGGGGGAATTTCGAGAACGCGAGAGAGACAGAGAGGGGCAGGAAGAGAGAAACAACAGAAACACTGCAAGAAGTGCAAAAGGCAGGAAGGAAGGAAAGACAGGAAATGGATAAATACGTAGACAAAAAAATAGAGAAACACATTGGAACAAAAAGCACAGGACAGCTAGCCCCTGCTCGGTGAGCCACGGGAGGATACGAGAATTTGGGCCGGTACATGTACATCAAGGAGGACGTCATTGAAGTCGCTGTCAAGCCGCTTGCAAAGAGAGGGGCCGCGGGAAGGCGGTTTTTCGGCGCTAGGATACGGCCAGGCTCGGCGCCAAGGTGGCAGGCCGGAACTCGAAACCCTCTTGAGGTGTGGGGAAACCCGGGGATTGGGGATTCGTGGGTTAGAACTTAGAACCCAAGTGGCCAACGATTTGATACGGCCAAATACGGGCAACCAAGGCAAATGAGTCAAATACGCTTTTTGCCCGAAAAAGACATTCTGGGCTCCAGGCTTTTCATAAAGGGAGTTGTGCCAGATAATTTTATCCTAGTGTAATTCGATTGATGGCAAATTCGTGGACCCTCCATTGAAGGGGTCAAACCAGACCTCCATTGGAAGGTTTGGACCTCAACAAGACCCAATATGGGCGGCTCGTCTTGCTTTGAGCCTCGGTACTCCCTTTCGGAGTCCTTTTAAAGGGAAACCAAAAGGAAGGCAATTTGGCCATTTTGGGTGTCCAATTCCTAAAGTTTAGGTATATGCTTGGGGAGGGAAGCCCCATTTTGAGGGTGCCCATATGGGTATGGGTCAAACTTCAACCAGACCGCAGGCTTTAGTCAATGTTTTCTCTTACCAGGGCAACCCATTTTGGGTTTACCCTAATGTTGCCCCGCAGCCATACTGTGGATGGACGAAATCCTGCACCACTTTGAAACCATGGGAAGGCATGGTTTGTTGTCATTTACAGGGCAATGATCATTCCAGGGTTTCTGAGGTGGCGCGAAATGGATTTCCGCAACCATCCACAGTATGCGCAGGGACCCCTTTTGTCCCAAATCCCCCCGAGCTCCTTTCGGCTTTTTGTGGGCGTCTCGTCTTTCTCTCGCGCGCCTGGCCGCCGGCGCTCGCCGGGCGAGGCGCATCATGGCTTCCGCTTCGGAGCTGCAGCCGCAATCCATGGAGCAGCTCTGCCTCCGCTTCCAGGAAACCGCCAAGGACGGACGCAAGCGCCGTGCTTTTCCGGCGCTGGCCTATGTCACCCACAAAATTGGAGACCCTTTTTTCGGGGTAAATGGAGGGTCTAAAACCACCAACAAGCTAGTTGAAGAAGGTCTTTGGAAGGTTTGGCTTGCCTTTCAGTTGCTGAAATACGTATAGTATAGTTTGTTTATATAGTCGTGTTGTATGTTTCCTTTGTTGGTGCTTAAGGGAATTTGACACTACTGGACACATGTTGTTTTTTGGCCAGCTTACCTTTCATTTGCTTACATGAGCATGTCTTTTCGGCAACTGCAGCTATCCAGTCTCCAGACAGCACACCACCTTGATGGACAAAACAAACAGAATCAAGCCTTCTTCCTCAATTAACAAATTGTGCACAGGTGTATAGACAACAAAGCAAAGTTACTTATGCACTGGACAACTGGGCTCTTCCCCGTCCCCCAACTCGGAGTCTTTGACCAAACATGGGCACGGAGGGTTTCGGAAGGGTTCCAGGGGGTTCCGGGGCCGGTGGAGATACCACGTGCGCTTATGGATTTTCTCACTGTTGGCTTTTAAGTGGAATTTATCACTGGGCTGAAGCGCACATGTTCACTGGGGATTTTTCACTCTTTCTTTAGAAATATGTTCATTTTGTCTCCAGACGTAGAGAAACCAGGGTACCCATAAAGCGCCCATTCAACGCACTGCAAAAGGCCGACACCCCATAGACCAAGCGTACCAGACCTAAAACAAAACCCGCAGCGTCAAGCGGTCACTTATTCTTGTTCAATTGGGACATATACTTTTTCTGGAAGTGAGCCTGCGGCTCTAGGCACCGCCTAGTTTTATTGCAAATCCTGAATTTCGTGCCGTTAAGAAGTGGAGCCAGCACAGGGACAGGAGTTGGAAGCAAGAATGGCCTTTGGTCTGACCATTTGCTGTTTTTGCGCAAAATTGCGCCCCACAAATGACGCAAATCGGGCACAAAAGCCCGCAAAACGGACGCAAAAACCCGCAAACGGACGCAAATCTCAAAAAGTGGTCAAATCTAGAATTGCAGGATCACACCAAAAAACAGCTCTGTTGCCAGCTGGCGAACCCCAGGGTTTCAATCCAGAAGTATTGATTGTCCGGGTAGGGCAAACAGATCATCACCCGCATGGCAAGCCAGTTGCGGGCCGTCCATGCAAAACAACAGCCTGCAAGGATAGCCACGACCCTTTTCCATAGAATCGGTCATTTTCTTTCCAACTCGGCCCAACTGGCCCATATTTGCTCAGTCGGCCAGAAAAAGTGTGACAAACCACATCGAGCAAAAATAAGTGTTCAAATGAAGGTGCAGGAAAGGATAGGTCCACCGGTATGTCGCTTTTTTGGGGGGACCCCCCCAAAAAAAATAAGACGAAGAAGATCATGACGCCACGGTGTTCCTTTCGGTTTTCCCTTTAAACACCGACAAACCAACAAGTACCACCTCCGCACATTCGGCAAACCGGCGATTTGTCCGACCTGCCGAATGACGCGAAGAGCGCAGATGCGCGGAAGTGGCGCGCTCGATCCAGGCGATGCAGTGCAAACAACTCGGAGAGTCGGCCGACTTGGAGGAAGAGACGCAGAGTGAGAGTCTGCAGCTGGAGGCGGGGCAGACGGGAAGATGTCCTTGGAGGGCCTCCAAACCAAAACGACACCCTGTGCATGTGTGATTTGTCTTTCTTTCTGTCTTTCTTTTTTTTTTGGGGGGGGTTCCCAAACACAAGACACGCCCAACGTTGTTTCCCCATGGTTTTTAGGGGTTAGGCGGTCCCTTGAAAATCAATTGCAAAGAACTAAGAACACGGTGCGCTGTGATTTGGACCCTTATTAAGAACCAATATATCATAGAAAGGCGGCCTTGGCGGCAAGGTGCCCAGAGCACTTCCAAGAGTCACTTGTGGTTCGTTTCCGACGCTTGTTCCCCCATGAGTGGCTTCAGCACACAACCTTCCCAATGATCAAGGGCCTCGTCAATTATTTTTCCTTTTTTACTTTTATCGAGTGGGTCCCCGCTACAATGGATGCCAGAGATCTTGTCGGCGGCCCTTTCGCCCATGCACACAGCTGGAATTTGCAGTGGTGTTTGCGGACGATTTATTTCGTTGTAACAGGAGCAATGTTCGATGTTCTTTGGACGATCCTGGCTTTGTATGAAATGTGTGGCACACCCTTTGTTTTTTTGTTTTCGGGATTCTCCGAATGACTTTTGGGGTTGTCGCCTTTAAACCACGAGGGTAGCATGATGTCGTACGAACATGGGCCCATGTGTTTCCCGTACTCTGGTGCCCTTGAATCACACTGGTTTGCACTGACTTTGTGGCACACTGGCGCCTCCCAGAAGGAAGCGATACGGAAATACACCCATACACCCTCCCAGCGACTAACATGGAAGTGCACAGACCCCTGTAGAAGACTACTTTCCGATTGGAAAGGGGGTGTGCATTTCCATGTTAGCACCAGCAAGTGGGTTGCAAACTAGGTTACCGACCTTTTTCTAGCTTGACCGAAATCCCAAGTAGTGGTTGTATTTATATATATACATATGCTATTAAGGCCCTGCAGCACAGTAGTTGTTTGGGATAGTTCCCAACAGCAACCAGGAGTTGGGTTTCTATTATCAGGCTAGGGGGCGGTAACAAGTGGAAACGAGGTTCGAGACTCATTCATCAACGCCATCGTATTGTCCGCCGGGACACCTACTTGGGTGCTTGGCTAATTTAGTAAGTGGTGAGTCTACCGACCCAACACACTCATGTGTAGGGTATACCCCAGGTGGCGATCATCACTTCCTAACTTGGCGAATCCAACCTCCAAGTCGTGTTCCACAAGTGTTTTTGTCCTCGGCAAAGCAGCACAGGTGGCATCCAACAGCAACCCACGGAACTGGTGGTTTCCTGAAAAGCAGGATCCCTGGAAAGAATTGGTAGCCTTAGACTTTTGGCGTTCTTAAAACCACCCCAAAAAGGTTGGAACCCATCCAAGTTTCTCTCTTAAGGCAGGGAGCTGCTCTTAACCACTCTGCGTCTTGTTCCCATTTGGGTATGGTTCAAAATCAAACCACCAGGATATGGACAGCAGGTTTGAGTCCATGTTTCCATCTACCAGGGCAAGCCATTTTGGGGTTGCTCTATTTTTGACCCACAGCCATTTACCCACCTTCTAACCGTCCCAATTCTTTTTGCGACCTGGTTCACAGGGTCTTTGGTTGAGAGGTTTGGGGTCAGGAGCGAGTTCAAATCCAGATCCAATCCAATCCGAACCCCGAAGCACCACCCGGCATTACCAATGAGACCCAGTGTTCAGATCAGAACCAAAATTACTTCTGAGGGTCCAAGTACCGTTTGAGGAGACGTTGCCGTTCCCTCCACATCCTCAACGGGCCCTCTGGTCAAGGGCACTTCCAGGTATGGCTTTTGCAGGTATGGATGCTTATATTTACCACCAATTTCAGCTTGTAATCCGGAAAAATGCTCTTTACATAAGCGGTATACAACCTGAATACCTCCAAAACCCTTTTTTCTGGAAGAGCCCCAGAGATCGAAGGCCACCAAGAACTTGAGCTCCTCTGGAAACCCTCCGGCTTTCAGCGAAAGGAAACAAGCGCAGTATATACCCTTTAAACTTCCATTTGCTGAATTGAATACAGTTTACTTTCCTGTGTTGGTTTTAAAGGGAATCGATTTCACTACTGGATTTTTCTTTTTAACCGGGGGCTCCAATTCTTTTTCCCTTTTTTTTGGGTGGCCCCACTGAAAATTCGGTCCAAGCCCCAAAAAGAATTGGTTCCAATCCTTCTTTTTTTTCCAGGGTCACTGAACAACTGAGATAAGCGTGATACATCCATAGCTCCAAAACCCATACCTGAAAGTACCACTTTGATCTGGGAATCGCCTCCAGCATCAAATTCAAAGCCAACCTATATATTTGTCTCCAGCTCCGATCAAGACACATTTCCGCAAACTGAACACAGGGTTTACTGTGTATACCCCTTTTGTGGAACCACTTTTTTAGCGCGACTTTTACTTACAATCTAGCTTTTGTTTGTCAAGAATCCCTTTTTGACACATCTTCCCGTTTCAGCCTCGAGAAAAAGAAAAATACAAACACCCAGCTCCATTTGTTCAGCTCAGATAATCCATTTTGACACATCTTCTCGTTTCAGCCTCAAACAAAAAAGAAGCAAAGCCACACTTTTCAGCTCAGACCACAGCACCTTGTTTTTGGTCTCCTGTTTCGAGGAGAAGGGCTTCGCGGCCGGCGTGCGGGAGCTGATCCTGCTGGAGTGGTGGCCCTTGCGGCTCTTGTTGGACGCCTGGCGCTGGGCGAGTTAGGTACCCCGCGGGCCCGCGGGCCCCGCCGTCAAATTTCCGGAAGAGGTGGAGGGTAGGAAGCGCCGAGCTGTACATGGCTCAGTTGTTCAGTGGCTCCCTTTTTCTTTTTCCAGCTCTTTCTTTTGGTGGCCCCACTAAAATGGTCCAAGCCCAAAAACGGGCTCCAACTCTTCTTTTTTTTTCCAGGGTCACTGAACAACTGAGATGGGTCAAAACTGAACCACGCGGGGACCGCTGGTTGAGTCCTGATTTTCATTTACCAGGGATACATTTTGGGCACACATTTTGACCCACGGCCACATGGTCCTGGGTAGACCATGTTTACGGGTTCTGATTGTGACTCAGTTGCCCAAATCAAATCGGCCTTATATAATATGTTTGGTTTGTTCGATTTGGCTTTTCCATATTTAGTCGAGGAAAGAGGTCAACCTTGAATTTCTGGGTCCAAGCTAGGAAACTTCATCTTGGTCCCCCTTCAAGTTTCCTGGTTGGTTCCACTTTGGGGTCTCGAATCCAATCCTATTTTCTAGTTTAGGGCAGACAAACAATCCGCAAACTGAGCACAGGATTTCCTGTGTATATCCCTGTTGTGGAACCACTCTTTAGGGCGACCCCTACTTACAGTACCCATAGCTTTTGTTTGTCAAGAAGACATTTTTCTACTGGGACTTTCCCCATTCTTTCCAGGGATCCGTCTTTTCAGGAAACCATAATAATAGTAAGAATAAGAATGAGAAACAGCTGGTGATTGAAAAGAACGATGGTTGTTGTTGAAAAGAATGGGGAATCAACCCCTATAATTTTGACAGCTTTTTCGATGAGCGTTTTTTGGCCCTGAAGCAGGGGTGTAGGTTCAGAGCTGGCATAGACCTGCTTCAGTTATTTGGATAAACTAGAGTGACCTCACAGGCAGGTGAGCCGAGCTCACCCATGACAAAGCTCTAGGGCTACCTTCCCCCTTCTTTCCAGGATCCTTCTTTTCAGGAAACCACCCAAAAACCAGGGGAAACAGCGATCGGTTTTTGAAAAGAACGGTGGTTGAAAAGAATTGTAGAAATCAACCCCTAGAAAAGCTTCTCTACTGGGATGTTCGCTGATTTCTGGTGTGTGAATTGTACATGGTTGTTGCAGTGGGAAATCCCCACTTAACTGCTAAAAGTTTTTTTTGCTCCCCTTCCAATGTCAACTAAGTATAGGTCTTTGCCCAGGGGTCCTTGATTTGGCAAAGGGTGGGGGCTTTCATCAGTCAGAAACCCACAAAGACCACCCAAAAGCATGGTGAGAAGCGATGGTCATTGCCCACCGGTGCCGGTTTGGTCAGTCAGGAATTCCCATCAATTTGGGCTTCCACGAAACTTGCGTCGTTCCTTTGTTGTCAAGGCCTTTCAAGGGGGCCTCCCAAGGAGAACCAATCCAGGGAGGGGATGCTAGCACCTACTGTGGATGGTTACAAAAGCCATTTCGCACCACCCAAGAAACCCTGGAATAATGACTCGCCTGTAAATACCAACACACACAATGGTTCCCATGGTTTGAAAGTGGTGCAGGATTTTGTCCATCCACTCCTTTTGGTGCCTGCTTTGGCGGATTTCATCATTGGTCAGGCAATCGTTAGCTGGTGATTTTGATTGGTTCGGGGATTTGAACCCCAGGTAGCCTTTCATTGGTTTGGGCTGGGCTTTGAACTTTGAACTTTGAACCCCTGGTTCTGGTGGAAAATTTGTAAAACTACCCCAAGCCAAGCCACCGGGGTCTTATGGGAAATGGGACACCACCCGGTTTTATGGTCTTTACCCCCTACAAGACCCCATTTACCCCCCAAACCAGTCTTATGGTCTTATGGGAAAACGGTCTTATGGTTCTTGTAGGAAGTAAATGGGAAACCACCCGGAACACGTGTCTCCAAGCCACGTGGCGCCAAACTACTGGCGTTCAGCAGAGAGGCCTTTGCCTGGCTGGCCGAATTATGCTTCACCCACATGCACATACACCAGCTGGTGGTTTGTTTCAAGTGAGTTTTGGCGAACAAAGCATTATATGCGTGCTTATACATATATACATCTATATATTAGTGTGTATATATGCACGTACGTATACACAACACATGTCTATATACACATGTATACACATGTGTATATACATATATGCACACACACACACATATATATATATATATACAGACACATGTATACATGTATGTGTATATTTTAACGCCTCCGGCTCAGGCCGCCGACATTACAGGCCTGCTTTCTTATTTGCGTCCCTTTGGAATTGTCCCCTTGCCCCCTTCCCCTCTGAGATTTTTGCCCCCCTTTCTTTGTTGAGATCCATTCCCCCTTTCCGCCCTAAGGCCTTTTCTCCCTCTGTTTTTTTCCCTTTTCCTCCCTAAGATGTTTTCCCCCCTCTCCCTGTTGAGATCCTTTCCCCCCTTTCCCCCCTAAGGCCTTTTCCCCCCTGAGATCTTCTCCCTTTTCCTCCCTTTCCCCCACTTTCCCCCCTACGGCCTTTTCCTCCCTGGGATCTTTTCCCTTTCCTCCCTGAGATCTTTCCCCCCCTTTCCCTGTTGGAATCCTTTCCCCCCTTTCCCCCCTACGGCCTTTCCCCCCGCTGAGATCTTCTCCCTATTCCTCCTTAAGATCCTTTGCCCCCTTTCCCTGTTGAGATCCTTTCCCCCCTTCCCTTTAAGGCCTTTCCAGATCTTCTCCCTTTTCCTTCCTAAGATTGTTTCCCCCCTTTCCCTGTTGAGATCCTTCCCACCCTTTCCCCCCTCAGGCCTTTCCCCCCCTGAGAGCTTCTCCCTTTTCCTTCCTTAGATCTTTCCCCCCTTTCCCTGTTGGCCTTTTTTCCCCCAGATCTTCTCCCTTTCCTCCCTAAGATCTTTTCCACCCCTTTCCCTGTTGAGATCATTTCTCCCCTTTCCCCCCTAAGGCCTTTGCCCCCAGATCTTCTCCCTTTCCTCCCTAAGATCTTTCCCCCCCTTTCCCTGCTCAGATCCTTTCCCCCCTTTCCCCCCTAAGGCCTTTCCCCCCCTGAGATCTTCTCCCTTTTCCTCCCTAAGATCTTTTGCCACCTTTCCCTGTTGAGATCCATTCCCCCTTTCCCCCCCTAAGGCCCTTTCTCCCTCTGAGTTTTTCCCTTTTCCTCCCTACGATATTTTCCCCCCTCTCCCTGTTGAGATCCTTTCCCTCCTTTCCCCCCTAAGGCCGTTTTTCCCCCCGCGATCTTCCCCCTTTTCCTTCCTAAGATCTTTTCCCCCCTTTCCTTGTTGAGATCCTTTCCCCCCTTTCCCCCCCTAAGGCCTTTCCCCCCCTGAGATCTTCTCCCTTTTCCTCCCTAAGATCCTTTGCCCCCTTTCCCTGTTGAGATCCTTTCCCCCCTTTCCCCCCTAAGGCCTTTCCCCCCCGAGATCTTCTCCCTTGTCCTCCCCAAGGTCTTTTCCCTTGGTTGAGATCCTTTCCCCCTTTCCCTCCAAGATCTTCTCCCTTCTCCTCCCTAGGATCTTCTCCCACCTTTCCCTGTTGAGCTCCTTTCCCCCTTTTCCCGCTAAGGCCCTTTCAGATCTTCTCCCTGTTCCTCCCGAAGATCCTTTGCCCCCTTTCCTTGTTGAGATCCTTTCCCCCTTTCCCCCCTAAGGCCTTTTCCCTGCCTGGGATCTTGTCCCTTTCCTCACTGAGATCTTTCCTCCCCTTTCCCTGTTGAGATCCTTTCCCTCCTTTCCTTCCTAAGGCCTTTCCCCCCGCTGAGATCTTCTCCCTATTCCTCCTTAAGATCCGTTGCCCCCTTTCCCCGTTGAGATCCTTTCCCCCCTTCCCTTTAAGGCCTTTCCAGATCTTCCCCCTTTTTCTTCTCAAGATTGTTTCCCCCCGTTCCCTGTTGAGATCCTTCCCACCCTTTCCCGCCTAAGGCCTTTCCCCCCCTGAGAGCTTCTGCCTTTTCCTTCCTTAGATCTTTCCCCCCTTTCCCTGTTGGCCTTTTTTGCCCCAGATCTTCTCCCTTTCCTCCCTAAGATCTTTTCCACCCCTTTCCCTGTTGAGATCATTTCTCCCCTTTCCCCCCTAAGGCCTTTGTCCCCAAATCTGCTCCCTTTCCTCCCTAAGATCTTTCCCCCCCCCCCCCCCTTTCCCTGCTGAGATCCTTTCCCCCCTAAGGCCTTTCCCACCCCTGAGAGCTTCTCCCTTTTCCTTCCTAAGATCTTTTCCCCCCTTTCCCTGTTGGGCTTTCTTCCCAAAGTCCTTTTCTCCCAGATCTTCTCCCTTTCCTCCCTAAGATCTTCCCCCCCTTTCCTCCCTAAGATCTTTTGCCACCTTTCCCTGTTGAGATCCTTTCCCCCCTTTCCCTCCCAAGGCCTTTCCCCACTTGAGAGCTTCTCCCTTTTCCTTCCTAAGATCTTTTCCCCCCTTTCCCTGTTGGGCTTTCCCCCCTAAGTCCTTTTCTTCCAGATCTTCTCCCTTTCCTCCCTAAGACCTTCCCCCCCCTTTCCTTCCTACGATTGTTTCCCCCCTTTCCCTGTTGAGATCCTTCCCACCCTTTCCCCCCTCAGGCCTTTCCCCCCCCTGAGAGCTTCTCGCTTTTCCTTCCTTAGGTCTTTCCCCCCTTTCCCTGTTGGCCTTTTTTTTCCAGATCTTCTCCCTTTCCTCCCTAAGATCTTTTCCACCCCTTTCCCTGTTGAGATCATTTCTCCCCTTTCCCCCCTAAAGCCTTTGCCCCCAGATCTTCTCCCTTTGCTCCCTAAGATCTTTCCCTTCCTTTCCCTGCTCAGATCCTTTCCCCCCTTTCCCCCCTCAGGCCTTTCCCCCCCTGAGATCTTCTCCCTTTTCCTCCCTAAGATCTTTTGCCACCTTTCCCTGTTGAGATCCATTCCCCCGTTCCCCCCTAAGGCCCTTTCTCCCTCCGAGTTTTTCCCTTCTCCTCCCTACGATGTTTTCCCCCCTCTCCCTGTTGAGATCATTTCCCTCCTTTCCCCCCTAAGGCCTTTTTTCCCCCGCGATCTTCCCCCTTTTCCTTCCTAAGATCTTTTCCACCCCTCTCCTTGTTGAGATCCTTTCCCGCCCTTTCCCCCCTAAGGCGTTTTCCCCCCAAGATCTTCTCCCTTTTCCTCCCTAAGATCCTTTGCCCCCTTTCGCTGTTGAGATCCTTTCCCCCCTTTCCCCCCTAAGTCCTTTCCCCCCCCTGAGATCTTCTCCCTTGTCCTCCCCAAGATCTTTTCCCTTGGTTGAGATCCTTTCCCCCTTTCCCTCAAGATCTTCTCCCTTTTCCTCCCTAGGATCTTCTCCCACCTTTCCCTGTTGAGCTCCTTTCCCCCTCTTCCCCCGAAGGCCTTTTCAGATCTTCTCCCTTTTCCTCCCTAAGATCCTTTGCCCCCTTTCCCTGTTGAGATCCTTTCCCCCTTTCCCCCCTAAGGCCTTTTCCCTGCCTGGGAGCTTTTCCCTTTCCTCACTGAGATCTTTCCCCCCCTTTCCCTGTTGAGATCCTTTCCCTCCTTTCCTTCCTAAGGCCTTTCCCCCCGCTGAGATCTTCTCCCTATTCCTCCTTAAGATCCTTTGCCCCCTTTCCCCGTTGAGATCCTTTCCCCCCTTCCCTTTAAGGCCTTTCCAGATCTTCTCCCTTTTCCTTCCTAAGATTGTTTCCCCCCTTTCCCTGTTGAGATCCTTCCCACCCTTTCCCGCCTAAGGCCTTTCCCCCCCTGAGAGCTTCTCCCTTTTCCTTCCTTAGATCTTTCCCCCCTTTCCCTGTTGGCCTTTTTTCCCCAGATCTTCTCCCTTTCCTCCCTAAGATCTTTTCCACCCCTTTCCCTGTTGAGATCATTTCTCCCCTTTCCCCCCTAAGGCCTTTGTCCCCAGATCTTCTCCCTTTCCTCCCTAAGATCTTTCCCCCCCCCCTTTCCCTGCTGAGATCCTTTTCCCCCTTTCCCCCCTAAGGCCTTTCCCCCCCCTGAGAGCTTCTCCCTTTTCCTTCCTAAGATCTTTTCCCCCCTTTCCCTGTTGGGCTTTCCCCCCTAAGTCCTTTTCTCCCAGATCTTCTCCCTTTCCTCCCTAAGATCTTCCCCCCCCTTTCCTCCCTAAGATCTTTCCCACCCTTTCCCTGTTGAGATCCTTTCCCCCCTTTCCCTCCCAAGGCCTTTCCCCCCCTGAGAGCTTCTCCCTTTTCCTTCCTAAGATCTTTTCCCCCCTTTCCCTGTTGGCCTTTTTTCCCCAGATCTTCTCCCTTTCCTCCCTAAGATCTTTTCCACCCCTTTCCCTGTTGAGATCATTTCTCCCCTTTCCCCCCTAAGGCCTTTTTGCCCCAGATCTTCTGCCTTTCCTCCCTAAGATCTTTCCCCCCCCCCCCAGTTCCCTGTTGAGATCATTTATTTCCCCCCTTTTCCTTCTAAGGCCTTTTCCCACCCTCAGTTCTTCTCCCTTTTCCTCCCAAAGATCTTTCCCCCCCTTTCCTCCCTAAGTCCTTTTCCCTTGAGATCTTCTCCCTTTTCCTCCCCTAAGATCTTTTGCAACCTTTCCCTGTTGAGAGCCTTTCCCCCCTTTCCCCCCTAAGGCCTTTTTTTCTCCCCACTTTCCTTGTTGAGATCCTTTCCCCCCCTTTCCCCCTAAGGCCTTTTCCCCCCAAGATCTTCTCCCTTCTCCTCCCTAAGATGTTTTCCCCCCTTTCCCTGTTGAGAACCTTTCCCCCCTTTCCCCCCTAAGGCCTTGTCCCTTTGCATTTTTTTTCCGGTTGAGATCCTTTCCCCCTTTCCCCTCGAGATCTTCTCCCTTTGCCTCCCTAGTGTCTTTTCTCCCTGTCCCTGTTGAGATCCTTTCCCCCCCTTTCCCCCCGAAGGCCCTTTCAGATCTTCTCCCTTTTCCTCCCTAAGATCATTTGCCCCCGTTCCGTGTTGAGACTTAAGGCCGTTTCCCCCCCTGAGATCTTCTCGCTTTTCGATCCTTTCCCCCCCTTTCCCCCCCCCCAAGGCCTTTTCCCCCCCCTGAGGTCATATCCCTTTTCCTCCTTTTTCCTCCCTAAGATGTTTTCCCGCCTTTCCCTGTTGAGATCCTTTCCCCCCTTTCCCCCCTAAGGCCTTTTTTCCCCTGAGATGTTTTTCTTTTTTTTTGCTAAGAGCTTTTCCCACCTTTCTTTATTCCCCCCTGTCCCCCCTAAGGCCCCGCACCCTGAGTTCGTCTCCCTTTGCCTCCCTAAGATCTTTTCCCCCCTTTCCCGCTTAAGATCCTTTCCCCCGTTTCCCCCCTAAAGCCTTTTCCACCCAAGATCTCCACCCTTCTCCCCGTTTGAGATCCTGTCCCCCCATTGCCCCGTAGGGCCTGTTCCCCCCGAGAAAGATTTCCCTTTTCCTCCCAAAGATCTTTTCCCCCCTTTCCCCCTTAAGGCATTTTTTCCCCAGATCTTCTCCCTTTCCTCCCTGAGTTCTTTCCCCCCCTTTCGCTGTTGAGATCCTTCCCCCCTTTCCCCCCTTCATTTCCTTCACCAGCATGGGCAACATCCCCAGCATCACTTGCATCATCCGCATCCTTGGCAGGCGCTGATGCGGATGATGCAGGTGATGCTGGCGATGAGCCGCTGAGCTGCTAAGGATGCGAAAGCGCACCCGGGGGGAATCAAACACCCCAATGTTTCGCACAATGAACAGATTTAGTGAAGCGTCTTCGAATCACCGCGTGGTACGTGGACCCCCCCGCCCCGCAAATAGTCTGAAATGGTGCCCCTGGGAGGGGTTAGGGGAGGGGTAACAGGTAAAGAGGTAAGGAGCATTTTTTGTGTCCAACACGCTGTCTGTTGTCGGCGGATATATATGCACACACGTACATACATGCACATGAACACAAAGGTATATAGTTGTCGATCATCTATGATTTGTTCCTGTGATTTACAGCCGTTGACTGAGGAATTTCCGCTGGTGGACGAGGTCTCGGTGCGGTTCTGCCAGTTTTTGGCGGCGCACCTGGTTGCCAGCACAGTACTGCTGGGCGCCTTGATCTCGAAGAAATGGCAGTGGGTCAAAACCAATGGGATCCCATTGGGTGTAGGTGCACAACCCATTTTAGTCTATTTTTGTTGGAATTGGCATGTTCACTGGCGGTACGGGATTTTGACCCATGGCCAAATGACGCGAAAAGGCGCAGGACCCCGGAGAAGGTTGACCCTGAATGAAGCACCTACCTGGCACTTTTTGAGGGTCCGTGTTTAGTGGGAAACCCTTTCTGCAAAGGGGGACCGCGGAGAATGTTGACCCCATGAACGACTTCCTGAGTTCCTGGACTGTAAACCGTTTTTGGACTCAGGAGGTGAGGTTGGCCATGATAAATCTAGGAGTGATTCCAACCATTATGTTCAACCATCGTTCTGTTCAAGAAACAACTGTTTCCCCTTGTTTTTTGAGGGCTTTCTGCAAAAGATCCCTGGAAAGAATGGGGAAACTCCCCCTAGATTCAATGTTAATATTTGGGGGCGGGGTACGAATCATGGGTCAACATTTGGGGGTCCCCAAAACTATTTTATGTTTTAGCGTACCCATCCTCAACGGAAGTTCACATTTTTGCGCGTGAAACGTTACCTGTCGGGCTGATTCGATGCGAGTTTCGTTTTGGTGGAGTTTCCTTTTAAAAAGAAATGTCAGGCGAGGTAGTGTCTCTGAAGAAAACGTATTTTGGCAGGGCTAGTTTCAGGGCAGTCTCTTCGCATCGGTTTCACATGCACGCGCGGAAGGTGCTTTCGGGCAACCTGTAATTATTCGATTTGATGGCATGTCTTGAACCATCGGCGAACTATACCGATACTGCGCCAAACTAGCTTACCTCATCTACTTGGGGGATTGTTTTCTGTCAGGGGTCCCTACATTTCCCTTTGTGGTGGTTTGTAACATCACCATTTTGGCCCATGAAAGGTGAGTCTGAGTGTCCCTTCAAAGTGATGTTTTAAGAGGAGTGTAGGGATGTCTGGAATGTGTTTCCCGTAGCAATTTGCCCGGTGAACACAAAACAAAGGGAAACCAACTGCATGCCAGGGTTTTTGGAGCACCCCCGGACAAAAAGAAGCTGGCTGATGAATAGGAGGGTGTTCCAGACGAGGATTCGTCCATCGGGGAGCCATTCCCCCAAATCAAATCAGCATGACACAAAGATCCGAGGTAAAGATTGTGTTTGTTGTTCCCCTTCTTTTTTCCCTCAGCCTGACTCATGTTCCTTTCTTTGGAGGGGGTTCCGGAAGCTCAAGTTTACCACTGAATGTGTTTGTTCCCAAGGTCACAGTGGAGATTTGGGTCCTGATTGGTTTGTTCACGGCAAATCAGGAAAGGTTTAGACTGAGAGCTGTCCTTTTGGTTTTTTCAAAGGAAATTTGCACCCCTCAATGTTCAGGTTATTGTTCATTTCCCCAGCGGATCCAGTTAACCACTGTGCCGGGCGAACGGTACCCGCCGATATCCCACTGGGAAATATGGCTGTGGGTCAAAATATGTACCCGAAATGGAACCCTGGTAAATGGACACATGGACTGAAATCCGCGGTCCCCTGGGGGTTTAATTTTGACCCATGCCCATATGTCTATATTTTCATGTGCCCAGTATGTATTGAGCTGTAGTAATTTGCAGGCGCACCAGGGTCCTAGGGGTACATGGTTGGGACCCCGGATGCGCTTGAACATAGAAATGGGGTGTCCGTTATTGCACTACCCTTCCCCATACAAAGGTCAATTGGGGGAGCTTCCGGGTGTTAGTTTGAGGGATGGTTTAGCTTGAGGCAAAAGGCAAACACATGTTTTGGTGCGAAAATTGCAATTGCCCAGGAAACAAAGAGAAACCTTCTTGGTTTGTTTTGCATTTGTTTTGTTCAAGGCCTGATGACGACAACCATCCTGCGGCGCTGCGTGATTCTGGTGCGTACGGAGATGATGGATCTCGAAAGCGGGGACTTTATACCTGAGCCCGACGCGATCTACCCCTTCGCCTGGCATCTCGGCTGTTTTAATGTTGTGTTTTTGTGGTTTGGATCGGTGAGTTTCGGATTTGAACTCCTGGCTCCAGTACCCGGGGCAACCAAAATTCGTAAACATGTACTTGTATCCAATCGTCTCACACTGAAACTGCTGTTTTGCATTCATCTCGCTCTTTGGCTGAAAAAGGACAACCTTGGAGGGACTTGATCCGTTGTAAATCTACACGGGACAAGGAAAACAAAGAATGAAAGCACGTTCTCCGTGTCCGGGCAATCATCTGGTCTAGGCATCAATTTGCGCTCCCCGCACCTTTGCAAGCCGAGGGTCCCCGAGGAAATGTTATTTTGCCCGAAGCTCGAACCAGAAACATCTTGTTTCAGGAAAACAGTGTCTTCAGCAACCTGTAGCCCACACCATGGAAAACCCGTGGTAACTTATGGTAAATATGGTAATCTGTTCTGGGTTTACGATGAGGTTGTGTTTGCCCTTTGTGGCAATCACGGATCCACTGGTTTGAACCCAATCAGGTGGGGGCAAGACTCTTCGCCCTCATCGTTTGAGGGATTTTTAGAGAGATTTTTGGAAGCTACATTTGCTTCTGTTCTTGGCACTGTTCATTTTTACTGGGAGTGCTTTCATTCAACAAGGAGGGGTTGCAACAGTGCCAAAGAACGAGTTACGGTGCCCAGAATCTGGGTAACAGCGACCAGAATCATAGCCAGGCAACAGCGACCAAGTCGTGTTTCCCAGTTCAAACAACAGTCTTTTTTTGCAAGCCCATACCAAGCGTTGTAGAGTTCAAACACCTGAGCATGGACAATCATTAGGGGGGTGTTCCCTCCAAAAGTGATAAACCCCCACTAAAAACTAAAAGGGGACACCCCCCTATTAATCAACCAGGGGTTTAGTAATCCGGGGTTAACATTAGCCTCCAGAGTGGTGTGAATCAGCTTGACGGAGGGGGGCTCGGAGGGTGGGGGGGTTCGGGGGGTTGGGGCTGGGGATGCCGCCACCTCGTAGTTTCTACTTTCATGGCAAAAAATGAGCAGCGTCCAAAACCTCCGTGACATGTTTAGTAAGAAGCATGTCATATCAACCAGTGCGTAAGCAAAAACTCCACGCGCGTAAGGTGGTGTAAGCTGGTGGCGGAAGCAAAGCCTCGAAATGTGTCGCGTCAGCTAACTCTACGCGCGTAAGGTGGCGTAAGCGGGTGACGTAAGCAGAATGAAACGACATAGCAAATCATGAACACGTTTAGGACATGGCTCATTTGAGCCAGATCTTTTCGCCTTGACTCCCGGTGTTTAAGCTTGGGCCTGCTTTGGTTCTCGAAGACGACACCATCTTGCTCCGGCTGTTGACCTTTTGCGCGTTTGAGAGGGCCAATCGCATGTTGTTCTTAGCGGCAAATGACACCAACCAGAAGGGAACCCAGCTAGAACTTTCTCCAAGCCACGTCAACACTTGGTACGGTTACCAAACCCGTCCGATTCATGCAGAAGTGTTGCCACCAACCACGCAGGAAAAAGGCCTTTTTCTTCGAAGCCCGTTGTGGCTCTCAGTTTTTTAGAGGAAAACCCCGAGGAATGTCACCCATGGAAGGCCAGTTCCCCATGTTTCGACCCGAGGTGTCTGGCTTTTAGACAGTTGCGTTTGTTGTCGAGCGCGCGGATGAGGGCTTCGTTTTGCGTGGCAGGCGCAGCACTTTGGCGATGGCTTGTAAATCGTGTGGCATGGGCAGCATTTGGTAGCTGTCTTTATTGACAGACTGCAAGTAAGAACATCATTTGATGAATCCATGTTCTAACCGAACCCGGTTTAGAACGTATGTGAGCGTGTGAAATTTATTTGGGTATTTTTTAGAACATCGAAATTAGAACATCAACCATGGCCAAGTATATAAACAGTGAGTTTGCTTCTCAGTCCAAAGCCATCGAAGAGGCACAAGTTAGTGAAACATTGTTGCGTATTGCGTTTCATGGAGTCTCGTAACTTGACGTTATGCTTGCAAGATAAGTCCATTAATCCGTGTGCTGTTTCGGCTTCTGGCCAGCCGCATGACTGCGTGGAAAGCGTGGATGGGCATATGAGCGTCTAGCAAAACTTCCGGAAGACCAAAATGTACAGGGCCGGACTGGACATGACATACTAATATGAGCGGTAGAACGTGCCAGAAGCCATCGAAACGATAGGGTCACAAAAATCGATACGCGGCAAAACATGGTTTTTGTGTACGGGGCTACCCTTATGTAAAAATGAGCAGCTGAGTACGAGCCGGAGCTGCCAAGGTGTACTTCCTTTACTACACTTGTACTGAAAAGTTGCGACTTGAGCCGGAGCTGTCAAAGTGAACTTCGTGTAGTACAGTTGTACTGAAAAGTTGCGACTTTCGAGCCGGAGCTGCCCAAAGTGAACTTCCTTTACTACACTTGTACTGAAAAGTTGCGATTTTCGATCCGGAGCTGCCACAGCCTACTTCCTGGTGCGACTTTTAAGCTGGCAAAGTGCATTTCGTATTCTTGCGAAACCGTAAAATGCACAAAGCCCTGGAAAACGATAGGGTTACAGGAAAAAACGATAACCTCTACACGATGTCCTTTGGCTACGCAAGAGGATTCGCAGATTCGCAAGTTGCTCACATATATATATATATTATACTTGTATGCATATAAACGGATATAGGCATTACTGCATTTATGCTTGATTGCTGTGGGGTCTTTAGACTAACCGTTTGGGAAATCAAGGGTTGTCCATTGAAACCACAAAAAGTTAAACTTTTTGCAGAGAGTCCATCAGCAACCAAGACAATTGGAATAGAATGTATGGAATTTGCATTTTCTGGAAAATGTGGTTAAATTTGGCTGCCCGCATCCACCCTTCCCAATGTTCTAACTCAATGCCACAACTTGCCAGGGATGCAAAAATGGGGATCGTGCGATGTTCTAAGTTAAAATACGGCGAGATGTTTGCAATGGTTGACCTTGATGTTCTTACTGCTAATCGATGATGACGACCAGTTTGATGATGACTATCATCCTAGCACCCCTTGCGTTGCAAGTCGAGTCCAACGTGACATTTGAAACATGTGTGTTTTTATATATATATATATGTATTTATTATATAAGACAGCTAAGAAAGATAAGAGACAATGATGACTGGCCTAGGATAGTGATGATGATGATGATACTTATGATCAACGCATCCCTGCATTGCAAGTGGAGCAGGGCTGGTAACCACAATGATGACGATAATTATGATCACAACTTTGATGACAGCTATCGTCATAGCAGCCCTTGAAGGAGAATATAAGAAATCATGATCATAAGGATAACTATCATCATAGCACCCCCGGTAACGCAAGCAGACGCTGATGATGACGCTGATGACGATGATAGTTATGATAACAATGACTCCGGTGATGGTGAGAACTATCATCGTAGCATGCCTGACGTTGCAAGTGAAACCACGATGATGATGATGATGATTATGATGACAATGTGATGTTGATGGATACTGTGATGAGGATGGCTGGTGATGATGATGGTGATGGTGGTGATGATGATGATGAATGATGGATGATGATGATATCGTCATCGCATCCCCTGCATCGCAAACAGACGGTGGTAACCAGAATGATGATGACAATGTGTTAAAACCCTCTAGGCCCCGTGCCGAAATTGGGTAGCTGTTCTGAGGTCCTTGTTGGTGTTGCTTCCCAAGTTCCATTGATCGCCATTTGGCTCAAGACACATTTGAGGTTCAAGATCTGATGTGTGACTGCAGACCTCCGTGATCGGCATCAAGAGCAAAACAACTGCTTGCGCTGCATTGTCAGGACTACTGGTGTAACTATCATTCCTTCTTCCTTACAACGTTTACACGGGTTCGGCTATAACGGCATCGTCCGTATACACCTTTCTACGTGGTTGGTATTAAAGCTTGAGGGTTCGGTGCACAGCGTCCCACGGGACGTCACCTTGCCGTCTCTTGACAGGTTATCAGCCGTAACTACAAGCTCTACACTGGACTGGGAGACAGCTGGTTTATTGCGGGTACAGGGACAATAAAGGAACGATAACCTACACAGTACAATGGCGTCTTCGGCGAGCCCAAGTACTGCAACTTTTGGGAACAGCAGCTCAGAGGGATCCAATGGATTGATGGCTCTTCCTGCGGTGATGGATATGGTTGCAGATTCACAGGATGAACCTGGGAGCGGAGGTTCCGCGCTATTCAGCGACATATCTACTCCCACAAGATCATGGAAGCAGATCGATGTTCATCAGGAGTCGAAGAAAAGAGAATCCCCACCGAGAAGATCATCATCTTCGCCTGCGACACCACGGACGTCGCAGAAGGGCGTGAGATCGACATCGAAGGGTGGGAGGTCAAAATCACCCACCAGTGCAGATTTTCGCGCCGTGATCAAAGAGAAGAATAAGATGGAGGTGGAGATCGGGGAATATCAGAAGACACTTGATGAAATGTCGGCAGCAATGGCGAATCTTAACCAAGAAGACTATGGAAGCACCATCCGGATCCAGGAGCTGGAAAGACGATGCGAGATTGCCAGCAAGCAGTCGGGACATCTAGTGAGTCACCACCAACACCACATGGCTGAGGCATGGCGCAAGTTTGAGGAAGAAGCCCAACAGATGCGCAAGGTGGAAATGAACGCATTTCAGTACGGGGAGAAGAAAGACATGGAGTCGAATATTATGATGCAACAGATGAGGCAAGCTGAAGGAACTATCATGGAGCAGAAGCGGGAGATTGCATTGATGAAATCCTACATGGCAAGCGAGAAGTCGGCCGCGCAGGAATCAGCTATACGTGCAAATCAGATACACCGTGAGGCTTCACAACAGATATCAGCTTATCAGCAACAGATCAGAGGCATAGAATCTTCTACATCTATCGAGAAGTTCAACGAGGAGGAGATGGTCCAAAGTCTGAAATCACAGTTGGAGCATGCACTCGTCAAGCGCCCCGAGACGTACTCTTTGGAGGACTC